ACAATTGTAATTCAAAGTGAGACAGCATTGAAAATTGAAGATTGGCCTGGGCAGGAAGGAGGTAAAAGTGACCGGTAGGTTAAACCACTGGTTCTAAATAAAAGGCTCACCAAAGGAGTCACCTTCTTGTGTAAATAACAACTAATTAGACTGCAGTGTATATTATAATGACAAAAGTACCGTTAAAGTGCGCTCCTTTACAAAGAAATCCTAGTGCATTATATCTGTAAACCTTCTGCTCCGGGATCCCTGCAGCGCTTACCTTGTCCTTCGCTCCCGCGATGCGTCCCCGGCCATCTCCTCCGGCTGATGCTGGCATCTGGCTTCCGTGTTCCGGTCCCCTGGCAAATTTAAAAATGTTTTGAAACTGTCATTTTCTTAGTAATGAATTTAACATAGTAAAGCATTACTGTATCAAACCATTTCACATACATTTTGTCCCGAGTGCTTTGTCCTGTGCCCTGCCTGCATTTTTACTGTTCTTTTTGCCTGGAAACTAAGAAAAGTCCATGGCGTCCAAAAAGCGTCCCTTTTGGTCAAAAGCGGTTTTAGACCAGCTAGAGAACAGTGATAGTAAATCAAAACCACTTGCAGAATTGAGTGATAATGATTCGTGGGGAAATTTGTCATCAGACACTGAAAACGATTTTGCGACTTTGCTCAGTGATGTGCGAACTTGGCGCTGTATTTCAAATTTCATTGTTTTTGGTTTGATTATATTCTTAAATTAAATTTATTATTATATTATTTTTATGATTTATTTATTAAATTATAATTTATAATTTTGTGTTTCAAGTTTTATCCTACTCGGGATGTTTATTAGACTTTTGTTCGGACAGATTTCAGTGAGTTATTCCTAAAAATTACAGGCCTACAATAAAAAAATACATATTTCCATGCACAAAAATGTACCACTTTCAGCACAGAAATATGGACATAATCATACCACTAGGGAGGTTAATAAATCATCAGGGAGATAAACATATATATAAGCTGTGCATTAAATTATTATAAAACAGAAATCCAATAATGTAAATATATCTGGATGCGGCTAAACAGTCCAAACACAGAGTGCAAAGCAGTTTGACAAATCTCACTTGCACCAGTCTTGTCCTCAAAAGAAAGAAAAAACCCCCTGCACTTCAATGTAATATACTGTATGAATTATAAAAAGCAAAACTGTAAAAAAAAAAACAAAAAAGACCACTAGATGGCGCTTATGATAAAACCACAAACCCTACATCCAATTTGACACAAACTGACAGTCCCATGGAAAAGTAGCCACAGCTTGGTTCCTCATGACATTCAACGTTGTAGATCACAGCAGTAAATCCAGTGTATCTCTGTAGTTCACAGGTTCTTGAAATGAAATCTGTGCTTTTCTTATTCTCAGTCTCCTTGCCACACCACCAGGATCCACTACAACACCTTAGATGTACGTTTATTAAATAGAATTTCTCTCATTTTAGTTTTCATCAGCTCTAAGAGAGGGTGTCACAGAAGATGACTTTTGTTTATGAAACCGAGAACATTTGTTCTCAGAGAACAGAGTAAAATTTTTGTCCTCTGAGAATGACTGAGATCTGTGTAAAAGGGAGAGGGCTGCCTGTGATTATTTATTTCAGGTACTTATATAGCGCCATCAATTTAGCAGCGCTTTACATATATATTGTACATTCATATCAGTCCCTAACCCTCAAGGGGTGTACAATCTAAGGTCCATAAGTCACATTCATACATACACATACTAGGGACAATTTAGACAGGATCCAATTCACCTACCAGCATGTCTTTAGAATGTGGGAGGAAACCGGAGTACCCGGAGGAAACCCACGCAGGCACAGGGAGAATATGCAAACTCCAGACAGGTGGGATTCGAGCCAACGACTCTAGTACTGCCAGGCGGAAGTGCTAACCATTTAGCCACTGTGCTGCCCACTGAACTAGTGAGGTATTGAGATTACAGTGCAGTTAAGTTGAAGTGAAACCAAGGTTAAACAGACCATATAATTACATGAAAACAATGAGCACTGGCACTTTTTTAATGCACGTTTTTTTTTAACGCACGTTTTGGCACATTCTTTAACCACTTGCCTACCAGGCACTTATACCCCCTTCCTTACCAGGCCAATTTTCAGCTTTCAGCGCTGCCGCACTTTGATTGACAATTGCGCGGTCATGCAACATTGTACCCATATGAAATTTTGATCATTTTTTTTCTCACAAATAGAGCTTTCTTTTGGTGGTATTTAATCGCCACTGGGCGCTTTACTGTTTGCGCTATAAATAAAAAATTGCCAAAAAATTTGAAAAAAAAAAAAAGTTTCTTTGTTTCTATTATAAAATTTTTCAAACAGGTAATTTTTCTCCTTCGCTGATGTGCGTTGATGAGGCAGCACTGATGGGCACTGATAGGCAGCACTGATGGGCACTGATAGGCAGCACTAAAGGGCACTGATAGGCAGTACTAATGAGGTGGCACGGATAGGCGGCACTGATAGCACTAATGAGGTGTCACAGATAGGCGGCACTAATATGCAGCACTGATAGGCGGCTCTGATAGGTGACACTGATGATGGGTACTGATAGACGGCACTGACTGGCATCACTGCTGGGCACTGACTGGCGGCACTGACTGGCACAACCGCTGGGCACTGACTGGTGGCACTGACTGGCAGCACTGCTGGGCTGCACTGGAGGCACTGACTGGCAGCACTGCTGGGCTGCACTGGTGGGTGGCACTGGTGGGTGGGCACAGGTGGGTGGCACTGGTGGGCACAGGTGGGTGGCACTGGTGGGCACAGGTGGGTGGCACTGCTGGGCACGGGTGGGTGGCACTGCTGGGCACAGGTGGGTGCACTGCTGGGCACAGGTGGGTGATCTGCTGGGCACAGGTGGGCGGAGCTAGTGGGCGCACTGTAGGGCACAGGTGGGCGGAACTTGCAGGTGGCACTGCTGGGCACCGATCATCAGGGCACTGATCATCAGTGCCCTGATGATCGGTGCCGATCCCCACTCTAACAACTGCCGGTTCTCGGCAGTACTTTCCTCACGATCTGACAGCGTGAGGAAAGTGCAGCCGAGAACCGGCACTTGCATTTCCCTCTGATCAGCGTGTCATTGGACACCGCTGATCAGGTGGTAAAAGGCCGCTGTGATTGGCCTTTTACCACATCACGTGATCAGCTGTGTCCGTAGGACACAGCGATCGCGGAGATCGCTGGGTGCGCGCCCCCTGGGGCCCGCAGGAGAGTGCGTTCTGGGGGGACGTCATATGACGTCCACTCAGAACTGGCCGGCCGCAGTGCAGCCGTCATTCGGCTATCTGCGGTCGGCAACAAGTTAAAGTGATGTATTTTGGCACTTTCTATTGTGCACTTTGGCGCTTTTCTAAACACATTTTGGTTATTTTAACACATTTTGGTGGGGTTTTTAATACACATTTTGGCACTTCTTTTAAGACCTATTTTGGCACTTTTTTAACGTGCATTTTGATGTGGTTTTTATGTGCATTTTGGCAAAACGCACATCTGCTAGTTACTTTTGACAATTAATGGCACTGCAGGCATGTATTTTTGGAATGAACACAAAAAAACTGCTTTTAAAGAAATGAGCCAAAATACATGTTAAATACCAGAATGAACATATAAATAAATATAAATTTGCAAAAATGCCTTTTAAAAGAAACTCAAAATGTGAGTTTAAAAAAAAAAAGGGGCCCATAAAGCCAAATTGAACCTTTTTTGGGTATGGATATTTTTTTTTTTTTTTTTTTTTTGTTGTTGCTTGTTTTGGTGCATTTGTAGCTTATTTGTCAAATGATGACAATGTGCGGCAAAACGCATGTCTGCTAACCGCATTTGGGGTGCCATTAACAATAAATGGCACCCAAAAGCGCACTACATATTTTGACACGTTTTTAGTTCCATTTGGAATCGCAGCCAGAATTGCACACCTCTGCCCATGACTCTGCATTGCTCAGATGTGAATGGAGCAGAAAAAACAATACAGGGGAGAAATAAAATATATATATATATATATATATATATATATATATATATATATATATATATATATATATATATATATATATTTATTATGCACACACACAGTGAAGATTTTAGAACAGGTAGTACTTGGTAAGTGGTGGAAGGGGGACGAGCTAGGCGTCTTCCCCCCCACCCATCCTACTGGAATGCCAATTCAGTCACAATGAAGAAGTGGACATTACTACATCGTTTGCTTACTTACTACAGCTTTGTTCGAAGTGGTTCACTGTTGGTCAACACTGGGCCATTCTCAGTCGCAACACAGTCCTCCGCTTCGTTCAAGAGGATGGTCGTCATCTAAATGACATTTTTCATAACTAAATAAGTTAGGGCTCGACAAATCCCAGGCGCCAGGTCGCCATGGCGATTAGACAATACGGCCTGGCGCCCGGGCTGTTGTCAGCCCCAGTGGTGTAGCATAGGGGAGTGCAGCCTGGTGCAACATTGCCAGGCAACCTGCAGGTGTCACTGCCAAGTGTGTGAGTCAGGGGGGTAGGGAGGAGTGGCTATGTGAGGGTGGAAATGTGAAGGATGGGTTAGGGGAGATGCGGGGCTGTACATTAGTAGGAGGGGGGAGTCAGAGGAGTAGCAGAGCTGGCAGGAAGTGTCCCCTGTGAGGCTCTCGGTGACACCTGCAGCTGCAGGTAGACTCTCAGCCTTACCTCGGAGCAGGAACCGGCGGCATGACAGCCAGTGTGGCCACTTATCAGTGCCCTATTGGTGCAGCCCCATCGGCGTAGCGTCATCAGTGCCCCATCGGCGTAGCGTCATCAGTGCCCCATCGGCGTAGCCCCATCAGTGCCCCATCGGCGTAGCCCCATCAGTGTCCCATCGGCTTAGCCCCATAAATAAAAATTTTATTTGGGTACAGTGTTGTATGACCGCGCAATTGTCCTTTACCCTCGGTTCACATCTGTGCAGGTGGTGCCACTGTGGGACCCGCTCAAATACTTTCAGCCTCCCCATCCACACAGAGGAATGCAAGACCCGCAGGCGGGTGCCATTAACTTTAATGGCATGCTGCCTGCACTGGAAATCGCAACCGTACTGGGAACCTCGGTTCCCGTGCAGGCTGTAATTTCCAAAGTATGCAGGGACTTCTTCCCTGTGTGTCCCAGGGCACAGGAGTCCATTCAAATGAATGGGCTCTGGTGCCTGTGCAAATCGCGGCCCTCACGGCCGCACACAGATGTGAACCAGGGCTTAAAGTGTGACAGTGCTAAAAGTTGAAAATTGGCCTGGGCAGGAAGGGGGCAAAAGTAACCAGTAGGCAAGTGTTTAAAAAAAAAAAAAAAAAACCTGGCTCCTAACTTTTTTTAGCTGGCTCCTAGATTCAAAGCAAATTTGTCAAACTTTGTAATAAGTAATTCAAATGGCATGTCTTGAACTCTGTTTTTGTAAAAATAAATACATATAGAGTTGAAAATCTACGGAGTACTGATTTTTTTCAAAACCGTCCAGCTCCCCGTTGGTCACCCTGTGTGTGTGTGTGTGTGTGTGTGTGTGTGTGTGTGTGTGTGTGTGTGTGTGTGTGTGTAATATATATTAGGAAGAAAGAAGCTTTCATCCTCACATCACAGCAACTTCTCACCCATATTCTCCACCTCTGGGCTGGAGATATTGATGGCCAGTGAGATCTTCAGATCTCATCTTCATAAACCAGCCATCTGTTTAGAAATGAAACATGACTCGCAATGAATCTGCACTGCCAGTGCACCGGACATATGTGAACAGGCACCATAGGATGCAGTATTATTTCACTTGTCATGCAGATTGGATGTGGTTCACACCGCATCATATCCACGTATATGTGAACCAGCACTTAAAGTGAAGACAGAAGGGTGTGTCCTGTGATGAGAAGTGAAGAACATATTCTCCTCGCCTCAGCTTCATAAAATGGCATACATGAGAGATCATACCAAATCATCAGGATCTCGGCTTTTCTCTGTCATAAACGGACACCTTAGTCATGGAAACAGTGTAACAAAAATGTTTTGTGCACATGTAATGAACAATCAGCTCTCGGTCAGTTCAGAGATTTTCACAAATGTCAGCATTTTTTTTTTTTTTTTTTTTTTTTTTTTTTTTTTATATTGCTTCTGTGACCTGACTAGGGGGATTTCCCTTTTGCTTCTGTCAATATGACAAAAGGACAAGAAATGAGGAGAAAGGGTGTTGACGGGACTGAGGCATGGACAGCAGTTCAAAAAAAAAAACAAACTGGTTGTAAAGCTGCTGGACAAATTTCAACAGGAATGAATGTCAACAGGAACCGGCCAAATTTTGAACCATCTATGGCTGTTCCATCTAATGATCGATGCCTCCTAAACAGGATTGTTGTCAAATTTTCATTCGATTGGCACCTGCAGCGCTGATCAGTGTGTTCTGAAAGCAGAAAAGTCCTCACTGTCAGAATACAATAGTGCATCAGGGAGGATTTCCCCATTTACATCAATTGTATGGATAGGGTAATGCATTCAGATTTGGGGGTTTTTTTTTGTCCAGCTTCAAGTGGTTGTAGGCTCAAGGTTTTTTTACTTTCATGCATTTTAAGCATGAAGGTAAATACCCTATGTGCAGCGACCCCACCAGCCACCTCCCCAATACTTACCTGACCCCTATCTCGATCCAACAATGTGCATGAGAGCTTCAGCTCTCCCGGGCCTGTTTCTTCACATTAATTGCGATAGCAGCAAGAGCCATTGGCTCCTGCTACTGTCAGTTACAGACATTGAGTCAAGGAATGGTGGTGGGGTCGAGCCACACTCAGTGTGTGAATGGATACACAGAGCAGCGGTTTGGGAGCGAGCCTGCTTGGGTGCCCCCATAGCAGACTGCTTGCGTTGGAGATACTAGGCAGGGGGGAGGGACCAGGAGCACCAGTGGGGACCCGAGAAGCTGGGCTTTAAAGTATGTCTAAACCCATGAACAAATGAGTCCTTAGATGTGCTGGCTGCATTAGTTTAATATTTCAGGTGAAAATTAATCTTTAATTTAAAGAAAAAAAGGGAACAGGCAGTTTTTTTTAATGCATGATATACTGTACATACTATGCCTCTTCTACATAAAAGTTTTTACTTGCTTGTCCACGCTGTACACTGAGCTGTGCGTCTGCCGAGATGATTGAATGTAATTTCGACCTGGCCAATCAAAACGGCCAAAGATCGGATCCAAGAAGAAGACTGACCAAAGATGTCAGAGGTTTATAAGGGAGCCCCAGGACACCCCCCACCCTTCCCATGATGTATGGAAAGGGGGAAGTATTTGTAGTCAAAATCATGAGAGGATAGGGTGACAACAGTACTTCTTCATAGATACAGTACAGTGTTGTCACCTTTGACAGAATTTACTAGGTAAAAATAAAGGCGAAAAAAGCCTGAAAACAGAAATCTAATGAAACCACCACATCCAAAGACTGGCAATCGGCACTGCATTTAATTTTTGGTTTTGGATTAAGATGCACTTTAGGGTCTGATCCTTTCACATTTCTTTGCTGTGTGCTGCTGCTGTTCTTTCCTGTGTTTTTTATAGTAATTTCAACTTCCTAAGTGACCTAATACTGTACTGATGGGACCATATTCTTTGCATATTAATCTTAACTTACCTCAACACACAGCTAAAATAAATTTTTTTTTGGCTTGGTTTTATTTAAGGTGAAGCAAAAACATTCTGGCAAGATCAGCAAGCACAAGGGAAGGTTGACATATTGTTTGAAAAGGCAGAGCAGAAGCTAAGACTGCTGTGGCAAAAAGTCAATGATGGGTCAGCAACAGACAAAGGTATGTAAGCAAATCATTTTTGGCAAATACCAGATCCTGAAAAATTCTGTGTTACATTTGCCGATCATCTGACTGTATTTGCACTCTCACATTCTTGGCCCGTTTTCCTATAATATTATTGCTGTACCCACACCAGAGCTGTCTGTGGCCAAATTGGGCAAACATATGTAGGTATCGAGGTTTTGAGCAGTAGTTGTTGTTTGGGGGTCAGTGAGTTCCCTTAAATTGGTTCTAAAGGCTAAACATGTTTTACCTTAATGCATTCTCTGCATTAAGGTAAAAAATGTCCTAGTAATTGTATCGCCCCTCGCCCCCCTGTATACTTACCTCAGAGAAAACCCGTAATTGGTCCATCAGGGGATAATAAACAGAGGGAAAAAAAAGGGGGTGGGGTATGGGAGGGAAAGGGGAGACGAGAGAGGATGGAGTGGGGGCCCATGGAGAGTACCTGAGGCAGTGCTGGGGGGGCGGAGGGGTAGAGCACCAACCATATGGTTCGGCCACAGACCCGCCGAAGGTTACTTCGAAAAGGACTCAATCCCTCCCAGAGGAAGTTGGCACTTCATCCAGATATTGGGTCAAGCAAGTATATATTGTCTGAGGCCGCCACTTCTCCCAAAAAACTTCTTCCCTATTGTTAAGGGAGGCAGTAAGGCTTTCCATTGAATTGATTTCATTCAACTTCACAAACCAGTGGCCCATGGTTGGAGGGGAGGTTATCTTCCACCGGTCCGGAATGCATGCATTTAGAAGATGAACTGTCAGGGAGCGTCTATAGTGACATATCGCTACCGAGTTGAGATGAAAAAGGTAGGCCAAGGGCTCTGTTCCCAGGTCAGCCAAGGTCAGCTGTAAGACTAAGTTCCGCACCCCCGTCCAGAACTGAGTCAGAAGAACATTGCCAGAAGATATGCAAAGTACCTTCCTCCTTCTACACCGCCAACACAAACTGGAGACTGAGGGGTAAAACTTGTTCAATAGTACTAGGACCCTATGCCACCTGCACAGACGTTTGTATCACTGCTCTTGGAAACGATTACCTATCGAGGATTTGTGAGCTTGTTGAATGATCTGGTTCGCTTATCCTTCTGAAAAGGACATCTGCAGAACAGCCTCCCACTTGTGCACGTAGGAAGGGACAAAGGTCTCCCCCAGTTTGATCAACATTTTATACAGTACTGACAGAAGATGAGGAGTATACTCCTCTGTGGCACACAGCTGTTCAAAGGGGGCAAGGGGTCTGGTATATCTGTGCGAGTCTGGAATCTATTGTAAGAAGTGGCATAACTGGTAAGCCATCCAGTGCCCCAGCGGGGGTTGTACCAAAACGCTAAGTATCTGAAGGGACATCCAATTCGTCCAATTCGTGAAATGCCTACAAAAACTGTAGCTGCTGACTTTTAAAAAACAGCCACTTACCTGTCCCTTGGTCTCGTGTGTCCCCCGCAGCCCGTGCCACCGGCTGTCCTGTATTCCAGGAGGCCGGCATCTTCAGTGTGGGCACCCGGCTGTGATAGCTTGCGGCCTCACAGCCAGGTACCCACTGCGCATGCGCGAGTAGCGCTGTGCTTCATGAATGGTCCTGTAGTCTTCTGAGACCTGTCACGTGTCCCAAAAGACTACACAGAAGGAGGGAGGACACCTTCCGTTTCCAATTACCTATCTGATCGGACCGGAAGCGGGAGCGGGTACCTATCAAATTCGGGTACCTGCCCCCCCCGACCCCCAAAAGTGCCAATCCTTAATGGGGAGCAGTCCTTAAAGCGGAACTTCCCCTTTTCGGTGGAGCTCCACTTTAAGTTAATCTTAAGGCACAAAAATTAACAAATCATCCTATTTTTTTGTAAAATATAAAATACGAGGTTGTATTGAGTAAATAGATATCCAACCTGTCAAACCTTAAATTTGCGTGCACTTTTGAAATGGCGACGAACTTCAGTACCCTATATTTTCTATAGGTGACACTTTTAAAGCCCCTTGTAGGTCATCAGTTTAGCGTTATGGAGGTCTGCTGCTAGAATTATTGCTCTCATTCTGGCGTGCAAGGCGATATGTATCATGTATCGCAGTTGTTTCTTGTGTAGGCGCCCCGAACGTGTGCTTTTATGTTTGTATGTGCGTACATATGTGGGGGGTCTTGAAAAAAATTTTTTTTTTTGGGGGGGGGGGTTATATGCTTGGGTGTAACTTTAATTTTTTACAAATAAAAAAATATATTTTTTTTTTAATCACATAGGGGACAAAAAGTCCCCTATGTGATTTATTGATGACAGGTTCTCCCCCAGGTGACAGGTTCAAAACCCCAATGTCACATCCCGGCATCTGTCAGCGGGGACCCAGAAGTGACGTTACATCACTTCCGGGTCAGGACAGAAGGGGAGAGGATGCATCCGTTCTCCTCCCTCCCATATACTCGCCGGCAGCCACTGAACTGTAACAATGATATACAGTGTCCCCTTCCCTAATAATTAACGTACATAAATCCCCAAAACGCATGAAAACACTTTTACCCAAAAAAGTGTAATACTCTTGTTATATAAAATTATGCTTACTAACCCAAATAGATAAATAAACAGCGCCCTAAGTAATCAAAAATATAAGTCCCAAAAACAAAATTAAATGAGATTGTCCTTTAAAATATAAAGTCATACACTTTCATACAGGTTCAAAAACCTTCAAGTTGAAAACCGCTTCCAAAGTGACTTCTTAGACCAAAACCTCAAAAAGGAAAAAAACTCAGTGTATTACCCTTATCAACTGAAAATATATTCACTCCATAACACATGTGAATCACACACAAAAAACACACACGTGATCACTACTAAATACAGTGAACAACTGTGTAAAACGTGCCCGTGAAACAATCTCGTGACAATTGAATTCAGTAACAATACTGTGAAAACTGTGTCCACTTCTAGAGTGTGCAGATTAAATACCCTTACCAAAGATCAAATCATCACAGGCTTGTAATTAACCAGGCAGGGTGCTGACATCTCTAAGCTCCACCAAGAGGATCTTCACAGCTACAAAGATATACTCCTCTCTCCACATCCATCTCCAAACGATGCCCACCATATATATGAATCAATAATAGTGTAAATCCGTATACAACATAATAGCTAATACTTTATTGTATGCTTACATATATTCCATCTTTTAAAATTGCCATCACAAAGGAACAATGCAGCCAGACCCTCTGGAGATCCTCAGAAGCGCTTCTGAGGATCTCCAGAGGGTCTGGCTGTGTTGTTCCTTTGTGATCTGCGCACTCTCGAAGTGGACACAGTTTTCACAGTATTGTTACTGAATTCAGTTGTCACGAGATCGTTTCACGGGCACGTTTTACACAGTTGTTCACTGTATTTAGTAGTGATCACGTGTGTTTTTTGTGTGTGATTCACATGTGTTATGGAGTGAATATACTTTCAGTTGATAAGGGTAATACACTATCTGAGTTTTTTTTTTTCTTTTTGAGGTTTTGGTCTCAGAAGTCACTTTGGAAGTGGTTTTCAACTTGAAGCCACTGAACTGGTCCCGGGCCCACAGATGGGCGAGCGGAGCCCAGGACATATAGCGGGCAGGGGGGAGAGGCTGGCACTGTGGGTTGTGTGGAAACAATCGGGCAGCAGCGCTGCCACCCAAATGCTTCCACCTGACAGGTGAGCCCTGCTGCTTGCCTGCAGCAGGGCTAAGGGGTAAAAAAAGAAAATTAGCTGCCCAGCGCCCGGTACTACATGTTCCGGGCGTTGGGCAATACAAATTGGACATCCCTGAGTCTAAAGCTGCAGCTGTCCCACATCAGCTCAAGGCCTGTGAAATAAGTGACCACATGACCGCTGATCACTCAGTTCTCGGTCAACTCAGAGTGGATAGCGGTGACTGTCGGTCACCGCTCTCCAGTTTTCCCCTCCTATGCGCGCTAGAGTGTCAGGGCTGGAGAGGTGAAGCCAGCTGCCAATAGGCTGATGTGCCCGCACAAACACGCATGGATGTAAACCAGGCCTGAAGCAACTATTAAAAACATTTTAACTCAATGTTAAATTTTATGTTTAGTGGCGCTTCAAGTCTGCCTTTTATTATAGATCAGGGGCATTGAATAAAATTCATTTTTAGTGAAAATTTTCCTCCAGCAAATGTCCAAATCGCTTATTTGCCCAATGACTCAGATTCTTCATATCATAGCCCCCTATCACAATCCCATTCTTACATCAATGTCCTCTGCTCCTTCACAAAGGTGTTCTAAACCCCCCTTCACGTCACCCAACACAGCTCTGCCCCTCTCACATCACCTCCCCCATCAGAGCCAGGTCCTTTTTTCCCCTTTCATTCTGTTACTTGACAGGTACACAGATTGGAGAGTGGGAGGCAAGACAGAGCGAGAGGTACAGTTTCACTACTTGGAGGGCCGGAACAGGAGCTGCCGAACTTGAATTTCCATAATAAGGATTTGGTGATTCATTGTTAGGACCGCTTGCTAAACTGCAAGGTAATGTCGGGCAGCTCCCGACCACATGCAGTGCTACTGTGCCTCTCACTCTCAATCTGTCCTGCCTTCCACTCTGCCGTGATAATGACAGCGGCAGAGGATGGGGGACAGAACTAGCCCCTAAATGGCATGACCGTGGGTACGGATGGGACAGTGAACTATGTCCCCCATTTAGTGATATCTGCTCTAGATCCTACATCCTCAGTCAGGGTTCATCCAGAGTTTATTAGGTGTTTCCTGAGATATGGCTGATCAACCACCTAGTTGGCTAGTTCTGCAGGATGACAGTAATGGTCATTTTAACTGTCTGTATGGGTGGCATTGTGACTGCCACAGTAGATGGGTCACTCTTCCCTCTAACCAACATTGTAAGGGGCATATTTGCCTGTGTTCCCTGATGAGATTTTAACGGGATCCTTGAGACCTAAAATTTTTTCAAGGGTTCCTATGGGCTAAACATATTGAGAGAGGCTGCTATAGACTATTGTGATTTCTTTTTATTTAATTAAAAAAATTTTTTTCTTTTTAAGAGTATACAAGTGCCTTCCTGTTGGTGAATGACAATTTACTAGATCAAGCACCTCATGACTGCAGTAAGTAAGCATTTCTGAAGATAATTTTGCAGCAACCGTGTCAAAGTGGTTTAATAGCCTAGCCCAGTGGTGGGCAACCTTTTTTTTCAACTGAGCCAAATCTGGCCAAAACCACGATTGAAATTTATTTTGAGAGCCACATTTTTAAAACTGAAAATACATCCCCCATATAGTAATTCATCCCCCGTAGTAATTCATCCCCCATATAGTAATTCATCCCCCATATAGTAATTCATCCCTCATAGTAATTCATCCCCCATATAGTAATTCATCCCCCATATAGTAATTCATCCCCCATATAGTAATTCATCCCCCATATAGTAATTCATCCCCTATAGTAATTCATCCCCCATAGTAATTCATCCCCCCTATAGTAATTCATCCCCCCTATAGTAATTCATCCCCCCTATAGTAATTCATCCCCCATATAGTAATTCATCCCCCATATAGTAATTCATCCCCCATATAGTAATTCATCCCCCCTATAGTAATTCATCCCCCATATAGTAATTCATCCCCCATAGTAATATCCCCCATATAGTAATTCATCCCCCATATAGTAATTCGTCCCCCATATAGTAATTCGTCCCCCATATAGTAATTCGTCCCCCATATAGTAATTCGTCCCCCATATAGTAATTCGTCCCCCATATAGTAATTCGTCCCCCATATAGTAATTAGTCCCCCATATAGTAATTAGTCCCCCATATAGTAATTAGTCCCCCATATAGTAATTAGTCCCCCATATAGTAATTCGTCCCCCATATAGTAATTCATCCCCCATAGTAATTCATTCCCCCTATAGTAATTCATTCCCCATATTGTGTCAATTCACTTACCTTTACTCCGCGCGTTCTTCTCGCTGTGTTCCCGCGCCGTTCTGGTCTTCAGGGCGGACTGTGAGAGGAGAGGAGTTCGTCACGCTGCCCCGCCTACATCCTGGCTGCCCCGCCTACATCCTGACAGCTGCAGAGTCCTGACTTTTGGGGCGGCCGCCCGAGAGGAGGGAGGGGAGCGGGCGCCCGGCACACAGAAGAGCCGCATTTAAGTTTGTAAAGAGCCGCATGTGGCTCGCGAGCCGCGGCTTGCCGACCACTGGCCTAGCCCTACAGCCAGCTATAAATCTGAGATCCTAAGCCTGATGTTTGTCTTCGCATTATTCCTTTCCTTAGATGCCCAATTATGTGTTAGGAAGTAGCCTAACAAATAAACAGTAGCCAGATAATGCATACCTGGATGGAGATCTGGAATATGCCCTGCTGGCTTGCTCCACATTTTCCCCCGACATGCAACCCTTATTCTTACTTCACTTATAAACCTTTGAGCTTGTCTGCACTTAGATATTCATTGTAGGATGATACAGCTGCTGCCTCCAAGTGCCTGCACACATTTAATTTCTATCCGGAGCATCTCAGGATCTACGACAACTGGGACTATCCATTATGCAAATGGAAACCTCACCTTTTATGGTCACGCTGTGATCTGCCCTCCTCCGCTTTCAATAGGCCTCTTAAGTGTGATAGGTTACAGGAGACGGCCATAGTTCTAAATCCTGCCCTGTGTAGAGAAGGATTTTTAGTCACTTTAACCGCTTCTCGACCTTTTGGCTAAAGTCAAGTATATTATCTATTCTTGTCTGCTTTTTGGAGGGAGAACAGAGTTCCCTCCTTGGGCGGGCGGGGGTGCTGGCTAGTATTTGCCCAATGTAATAAGGTAGGAATAGTGGGAGGTTTTTTTTTTTCCTTCCTCCCAGGGTGATTCTGGCCTGGGACACCAGGTTTGTCCCTGGTTGAAGGCAGGACTCTCCCTAAGTTCTAATGTCTTTATGATTTTAATGGGGCTGCATTTGTCTGGCCTGGGGCTGGGAGGAGCAAGGAGCTGTCAGTGTTGTGCCCCCTAGGAAAGATATCCCAGTGGTTCCAGAAAGACACTTGGGGTTGCACACAACTGTTTAACTTTTTCTACTATATTCTCCCTTTTTGGTCTGTTAAATATACTGTATATTGAAAGCCTTTTGCTGCATCTGTTTAGTAAGTGCAACATTACCTCTTCTGCTCATACTTGCCTCCATAGAGTGATCCCCACATCTGAGGGCTAGTAAGTTGCAATATATTATATTTTTGTTCCTAGGTTTAGATGCATTTCAATGCTGCAGGAAAGTTAAGCAGGGAAAATGTGTTGTAATCTAAAACAGCATAGCAACTCTGATACAATTTCTTCCTATTCATTGTTATTCATACAGATGAAAATGCTTCAGTTGAACTGCCAAATGAGGATAAGTTGCCAGAAAGATGGTAAGCATTATCAGCCCATTTAATTTTGGAACTGCATACAAAAAACTAAAAAAAGAAGTTTGGTGTCTAATTTAATTTAGTTAATATGTAAAGTTTAAAAAAAAGACAATTTATTCTTGAATATCTATATGCAGTGTATGTTTGTGTGTGTATAACCAGCTATATGGTTGGGGAACAAAACACCTACTGATATACACTCTGAGAATAACAGAGGAGATTTGTATATATTATTATTACTATTAGAGTTTGAATCTGATAATATCATCAGGCTCCGAGATCAAAATTATTATTTAACCGCTTGCCTACCAGGCACTTTTACCCCCTTCCTGCCCATGCCAATTTTCAGCTTTCAGCTCTGTTGAACTTTGAAGGACAATTGGGTGGTCATGCATTACTGTACCCAAACTTTTTTTTTTTTTGTTAAACAAAAAAAGACCCACATTTTTTTGGGAAAATAAGTTTTTCTTAGTTTATATTAAAAAGTATTATAAATAAGTGATTTTTCTCCTTCACTGATGTACGCTGATGAGGCTGCACTAATGGGCACTGACAGCCGGTACTGAGGAGGCACTGATAGCAGACACTGATAGCCAGCTCCGATGGGCACTTTTGCCAGCACTGATGGGCTACAGTGATAAGTGCCCCGATGAGCAGTGGAGATGTCCCCTCTGAGGAATGTCGCTTAACGTCTCTCCTATAACCGGCATTTCCTGTTTACACTGTGATCAGCTGTGATTGGACACAGCTGATCACATGGTAAAATGCCGCTCTGATTGGCCCTTTACCTCGATCCATGATCAGCTGTGTCCGAAAGACAGTGCGTGCCCCAGGAAGGACGTCCATGGATGCCTTCCTAGAATAGCTGATTGCAGTTTTTTGTTTTGTTTTTTTTTTTAGCCGTCTTTTGGCTACAGCGCATTTAGGAACTGGTTAAAGAAAAACACATTTTTAAATGCTCCCCGTCCACCCTATAGCAGAAATAATGGTACAGAGTGGCACGGATGCGCAAAATCATATATATTTATGTACGTGATTTTGTATTTCTGGGTAGGGAGGCACGCGCAAGGTCATTTGTGGCCGCCAATCACCGGGTTCCGGCTTGTGATTAAAGAGGATCTCCGACAGGAAGCAGAGCTCTTTGTAAACAAAACCGTTCTCCTACCTGTCAGGTCGTGCACACTGCTTTGCATGGCTATGCACAGCACAGCCATACAAAACAATGCTATAGGTATAGATAGGACTATTGAAAAAAGCTGCAAACACCTAGACCTAGACACCACTAGCACAAGGAAACAAAACAAATAAAATGGTGTTGCGCTAATATCAATAGTACTAAGGACACAATAATTCGAAGAGTGGGGCGACAGAAAAAACCCAAAACAGAGGTGATAAGTATAAAGGCCTGAATCCAGACCTAATTAGGTGCAATATGAACTGTGACAAAGACGACATGAGTAATAATCATAATACATAAAAAGATAAAGGCCTGAACCCAGACCAAAACTAAGTGTAATATAGATTGTGATGAAATACAGCATGAACAATAGTCACCGAGTAAACATAAATAATGCATTTCAACATAATAGGACTAACACGTCCTAAATATAAGTGCACAAAAACCACTGTGCAAAGAAAACTGCCAAAATCAAATGGCAAAAAATAGGTGCAAAACTAATCATACAAGGTGCATGAAACTATAAATGCATCATAAATAATACATACAAAATGTAAAGGCCTGAACCAAACCAAACTAAGTGCAATATGGATTGTGATGAAAACAACGTACACAATCAATGAGTGAACATAAATGATGTATTCAACATAGCAGGACTAACATGTCCTAAATAAAAATGGCACAAAAAGCGCCGTGCAAAGAAAACTGTGACAATCAAAAAGCAAAGAAATATATGTGCAAAACTAATCATACAAGGTGCATGAAACTAAAAATGCACCTTATAATCAGGATTGATGCCAGTGAAAAATGCACAGTGGAAATAAACGTGCGTCAATAAGCACAAAAAATAATTAAAGCACCGTGACATATAACAAATAATGAGTGACCAGCAGAATAAACACAAGTGATCATCAAATCGGCATAAAGTCCATGTAAATAGACCTTTTAACAATGAAAACCAGCGCAAACCCACATGATCAATTACATTACTCAGTTTAAAAAAAACATTAATGTGCTAATAAAGTAAATTATATATAAAATATATTGATATATAAAAATTTTAAATTATAAGTCCAGTGACAAAAAAAGCAAAGTGACAAAAAATCAAAAAAAATAAAAAAAAAAACCCCAGAAAATATATATATATATATATATATATATATATAATTACAGTCCCGTGACAAAATTAAATCAAATTAAATTATAATATATTTTCCATTTGATTCTTCCGTGTTACTGATCCCTTCACCATCCACCAGTGCAGAAATCAACATTAACCGCACTCACCAGATAATGGTGAGTCACACGCCTTTCAGGATTGTTAAGGGCTCCTGGTCCAGGAGCCCTTAACAATCCTGAAAGGCGTGTGACTCACCATTATCTGGTGAGTGCGGTTAATGTTGATTTCTGCACTGGTGGATGGTGAAGGGATCAGTAACACGGAAGAATCAAATGGAAAATATATTATAATTTAATTTGATTTAATTTTGTCACGGGACTGTAATTATATATATATATATATATATATATATATATATATATATATATATATATTATATATATATTTTCTGGGGGTTTTTTTTTGATTTTTTTTTGATTTTTTGTCACTTTGCTTTTTTTGTCACTGGACTTATAATTTTAAATTTTTATATATCAATATATTTTATATATAATTTACTTTATTAGCACATTAATGTTTTTTTAAACTGAGTAATGTAATTGATCATGTGGGTTTGCGCTGGTTTTCATTGTTAAAAGTTTTTGGTCCTTTGTACCTGTGCACAGCAGCATCTCACGGGGATTTGTATGGTAAATAGGAAGTCCTGAGCGCTGAGGTTTTGTTTTTTTTACATTTTTTTACATGTAAATAGACCGCCAACTCCAAACGAACAAAGCAACTGGGTGAAATGAATGATAAATCCGTCATCGGCTAAAATGCCTCCTCACCTCCACGCCAAGACCCCAAGGGGCCACACAGCTTTCAGGCCTCATACTCCCAGGGCCCTTAATAGGTATCCAAGATGATAGAATCACACCGATCACAGGAATATGGCCTTCCTCACCGTATAACCGGAATTATTTCAGTAGTGTTGAAACTGGTAATCCTTTTCACAGGAACATAAGCCAGCTCAGATGCACCTCCAAAGGAAAAAGAGCACTTCCATAGTTTAGTAATTTTAAAGCAAAAACTTTAATGGAGAAATGCCAGATAAACACTTACATCACATCAGTTGAAATCGGGCCTCAAACACATGTATTGATATGGGTTTATACTTCCAGGGCAGGGGTGGGCAAACTTTTTGACTTGAGGGCCACAATGGGTTCATATATTGGACCCGGGGGCCGGACTAAGAGTAGATGAATGATGTGTATGTGTGAATTAATATAAATTAAATTAAAATTTGTAACATTAAATGTTTAGATTAATTTAAGGTAGAAAAGCATAAAAAGAGTTATTTTACAAAACTTTTATGCAATGTATTTCTTTCATAAAATAGTGCCTTCAATTTTAGTGGGAACAGTGTTGTTGGTCTCCCTTTTTTGTTAAGAGACTGAGACTGCGCAGTGCTTTCTTCTTGGCTCAATCCGTACTCCCCCACAGCCCCGCCCCCCACTAGCTGTTGGCCGGCCCAGCCACTACCATGCCATCCATAGTAAGTATAGTAATTCATCCCCCATAGTAATTCATCCCCCCTATAGTAATTCATTCCCCATATTAATTCATCCCCCATAGTACTATTCCCCCCCAAGTAGTAAGCCAAGTCCCCCCTGTGTCAATTTACTTACCTTTGCTCCGCGCGTTCCTCTCGCCGTGTTCCCGCGCCGTTCCGGTCTTCACGGCGGACTGTGAGAGGAGCCTAGCTCCCCTCACGTTCGTCACGCTGCCCCGCCTACACACATCCTGACAGCCAATGTTTGCCTGCCCTGGCTGTTTTTTTTTTATCACGCTCCGCGGGCCGGATTATCCGCCGGGCCGGATTAAAAGATCCGCCGGGCCGGATTAAAAGGTCCGCCGGGCCGGATTAAAAGGTCCGCCGGGCCGGATTAAAAGGTCCGCCGGGCCGGATTAAAAGGTCCGCCGGGCCGGATTAAAAGGTCCGCCGGGCCGGATTAAAAGGTCCGCCGGGCCGGATTAAAAGGTCCGCCGGGCCGGATTAAAAGGTCCGCCGGGCCGGATTTATTAAAAGGTCCGCCGGATTAAAAGGTCCGCCGGGCCGGATTAAAAGGTCCGCCGGGCCGGATTAAAAGGTCCGCCGGGCCGGATTAAAAGGTCCGCCGGGCCGGATTAAAAGGTCCGCCGGGCCGGATTAAAAGGTCCGCCGGGCCCGGATTAAAAGGTGGGCCGGATTAAAAGGTCCGCCGGGCCGGATTAAAAGGTCCGCCGGGCCGGATTAAAAGGTCCGCCGGGCCGGATTAAAAGGTCCGCCGGGCCGGATTAAAAGGTCCGCGGGCCGGATTAAAAGGTCCGCCGGGCCGTATACAGCCGCGGGCCGTAGTTTGCCCATTGCTGTTCCAGAGTGTACCAAAATGGCGGCGGCCATCACCACGCTTCGCTAACAAACCCATGTGTCCCGTGACGTAACCCTGATGAAGTGACGGGGTTCAGATGTTGATCTTCCCTGCAGCGAACCCTGAAAGTGATTGTAAACGTTTTTTTTTTTTTTTTTGTTGTTGTTTTTTTTTTTTTTTACTTTCTTGGGTTTTTTTTAACAAACTTGTAATACTTACCTGCTCTGTGAAGTGGTTTTGTGCAGAGCAGTCCCAATTCTCCTCTTCTGGGGACCCCAGCCGGTGTTCCTGGCTCCTCCTGCCTTCAGAATGCCTCTATGGCAATTCACAATGTATCATATAGAATGCCTCTATGGCAAGGTAAAAAACATCTGCCTTTTAGAATCACTCACTTCTCTCTCCTGCCCAGAAATACATGTCCCACAAGGCAATGGTCCTCACACATTTACATTCACAAGTTCTTAGGCACTTACTGACTTGTATGGACTGTGTGCTGAGCTGTATGTGTGCTGCACTGTATTTTCTGACATGTTAACAAATCATGCATTCTGTATTCAGGCCACCTAATCGGCTGACCAACTAATCCATTCTGAAAATTGTTGACAACTTTTTTCTTAATCAATTATCGATATGTCTATTAGTAGTTTCGGTTCTTCTGTAAAGTTCCCCGTACACTATCCAATGTGATTGTACAGACTCGTTTAGATCTACCATCAACTATGTAGTGTAAGGGCCTGCCTGATTGGATACAGAGTGATTTGATAGATGGTGTGTCCTCCTAATATGTATTTTTGATAAATGTAAATGAGATTGTACAGAAATTGTAAAATTAGATTATATAGTGTATGGCCACCTTTTATACACCTGACACGAACTAGTCATACCATTAATTGGCTGACCTATGTGTGTCACAGGAAAAACGCACCAAAAAACATGCATTTCCACTAAGCTAGCTGTGAATGGGGCCCAAAAGTAAAATCGGTGTGGTTACTCAAGAACAATGACAGCCGAGTGTCTCCACCTAAACAACCTATTTAATTTGTATCGAATCAGGCAGTATCTTGCACTAAATAGTTGATGGTAGATCTAAGCCCTGGTTCACACCAGTGTGACTTGTCATACAATTTGATAGTTCCATATCGTATGACAAGTCGCACCCTATTGTTGGCAATAGAACCGTTCAAATTGGTGCTACTCCAACTTTCCAGTTCCACACCGATTTTGGGGGAAAAAAAAGGTTCCTGCGCTATTTTTTGATTTTAGGTGTGACTTGCATAGACATCTGTGCATGGAGTCGCACAGATGTCAGCCAAGTTGCACCTGAAATCTTACTGACCTGCGGCTTTGAAATCATGCAACTTCAAGTGAAGTCATACGATTTCAAAGTCTGATTCAGTGTGAACCAGGGCTAAAAGAAATTGTACAATTAGATTGTACAGTGTATGACCACCTTAAAGGAAGGAGTAGAAAAGTGGGTGGAAATAAAAAAAAAAAGTGGCAGTATTGTAATGAGGGAGGTGGGGTCCAGAGTGGTTAAACATGCCCTATTCTGTGATGCAGTAAGGCAGTGCATGATGGGATATGAAGTTTCCTGGATGGCCTCATGTTGCTATAGGAATTCAGGTCTCAGAAAGCATTTTTTTTACATTTTAAACAGGTGCAGATTTAAAGCTGCCATGGACTAGACAAGTGAGAGATAAGCTCATTGCGATGGCTTGGGCAGAAAATACATTAGAAAACACTTCTATTTATCATGAAAAGTGAACTTCTGTCTGAACAGGTGAACTTGGCCTTTAAAAACAAGACTTTTATATCTGCTCTAAATAAGTTTTTGCATACTTAGTCACCTTGTTACTGAGTAAGAGTGATTTAGGTCCTAGGTAGGACTCTAAAGCCTGGCATACACCAGCCTTTCTCAACCTTTATACTTCAGGGGAACACTTGAAATCATTTTCCGGTCCCTGGGGAGCTCTGTCGATATGAATTCTTTGGTGGACAGTGGAAAGAATGGTGCCCTTCTAGTGGATGTCCGAATGCCACCATTACAAACAGATAAAAAGATCATTGGTGTAATGCTGTTGGCTCTGCTGAGTGATTTTGAATGCAGAACAATGCAAGCACCATCAGAGTGCAGAGATCAATCTATCAGAGAGGTCAAGCAGCCCACCGCCCAAGGAACCCCTGACAACCTCTGGAGGAACTCTTTGGTTACATGGAACCCTGGTTGAGAATGGCTGACATACACGCTACATTTTGGAGGGATGTGCAGGCATAATTTGACTGCCCTCAGGCATCCTGTTTCAGCCAGCTTGCACCTAGATATAACATTTAATTGGCGAGTGAGGTGCAATGCAGGCACTTTGTCAGAGCACATACAGTAGCAATGATGAAGGACCAGATGGCAGTGCCTGATTTGTCACCCACTCTAAATGGAAAAGATTATACATTTTATAATGAGAAACTTTTGAAATTACACAAATTTATTATCTTTTATAACGTTCCATGAAAAAAATATATTCCTGCTGAATTCTTTCATATTCACTTGACGTTTAGAGGGATACAGACCACATATAGAAAATTTGTTTTACTAGCCAGTAATTACTTTACTACTGTTTTTCTCTGAATTGAATTAGGACTATTATGCATTTTGTTACGATGCAAACAGTTGGTTAGCTGACTTTTAATGAGGTCGGGATGAAAATTTCCAACCTTGTCAAAAAGTTATCTTTACAGTTTTGTCATACCACTTTCCTCCATTTATCGGAACCCTCGCTATCAGATTTCAGCCAGGTATGTGTACTTAGGAGTATAACTCTGATGACCTTTGCATTGTGTTGTGTTCCTCTGCAGTGAAGAAGAGGTGACCAGCCCAGAGCCTGCTGTGAATGATACAGCTTTACCTTCCATCACACAGTGTGTTCGTTTTTTGGAACATAAATGTGGACAGGCATGCCTATCTGAAGTGAATCCATATTTCAACAAAAGAGGAAACCCACTCAGCTTTCCACTCATATGTCAGTTCCAGCGGTGGCACGTCAAGTCTAGCCTTCTTTCCAGGACGTTGGATGTCCTCTACAAAGCCCCTTGTGGAAAGGGTCTGCGGAACTTTGATGATGTGCATGATTACCTCTTTCAGACAAAGTGCAACTTTTTATTTCTAGACAATTTTTCATTCAACACTTTCCTTCAGCTAAAGAGAAATCTAATAATGGGTCCAGTTGTAACTCAAGAAGCAGATATTAGCAGAGATGTGGAGCTGGTGCCAGTCTCACTCTGCAATGAAATTGATAAAACCAAACCATCTTCTTTTACATATAGGAAGAGCCCATGGCCACATGGATACTCCATTAATAATTTTACAGATCTCTTCACTGGATGCTGCGACTGTACAGATGGATGTTTGGATGTGTAAGTATGCTTCATTTGCTCCGAGGAGAAAAAGCAAGGAAATATGCAACTGGTTATAACTTGTTTAATTCATTATTGTGGAAACAAGGTTGTATGTGCATATCATTTTGTTTTTTTGGGAGGATAGTAAAAGCTAGGTTTGAACACTTCAAAGTCTTCCTTGCTGTTGAGGTCCTGCAGGAACTACTGTTGTCAACGGCTGTGTATTACTATGGAGGATCCAGGAGAGGGAGGAGTGAATAAAATATTGTGTATCTTGTACCCTCTATTAAAGGCTTTCTCAACTTTTGTGCTCCAGAGGAATTTTTGATATAGTTGTAAGGTTTCTGGGAACTCCTGCCAATTAATTGCTGGTCAGTGGAGGGAAAAAGCCACTTACATTAGTGGCTAGTGTTAGGAATGCCTCTTAAATTGGTGGACAGACAGCTAAAAAGATCATTGGTGTGATTATTGGCAGGCTCTGCCTAATGGTGGTGTTGAAACTATTTAGGCCCTATCAGATCAGGGAGGTCAATCGGCCACAGCTGAAGCAACCCCTATGAACATCTCTGAGAAAGACTGTGCTAATGGATCCTTCATAGGAAGATGGCTAGGTTCACACAGGTTGGTGTTGAAGTAGGGTTTTTTTGGCGCATTTTGCAGTTTGCATTTTGCCACATGCGTTTTTGATGTGGGTTTGGGATGTTTTAATGTTGCTAGGGGGAGGTGTCTGTTGTCATGCAGGAAATGCACCAAAAACACATGCACATGCGTTGTTAATTAATTTTCACTGAAGTTTGTGGAACCAGAAACGCATTCTGCTGAATGCAAAACAGTCCCTGACCCTTTCCAAAAAACAAACCGGTTGAAAAACACACAGATGTGAATGTGACCCATAGGAAATTATTTTAAATGGATTTTAGTGTGTTTCTGAAAATGCACTGCAAAATGCATAGGTAAACCTAGCCTGAGTGAAAACTCACGGGGTGAAGAGGTACAGTTAGCACTGAGAATCCAGCAGAGTAATAACCCTTGCCCCATTCCTGCGTTTTATATAAGAATTGCTATTTATTGTCATATCTTTAGTTCCTAATAATACGGTTATGTCATGTTCTTCATTTGTACATATATGCAAAGTATTTAAAGTAGGGGAGCACCAAAATTTCGGTGGCCGAAACGTGTCGGCCGAAAAACACCCCTATCAGCTGACGACTGATATGAAAAAAAGCACCGATACAGGTGCCGAAAAAAACCCTGCCTCCTCGCCACTGCCACCGTCCACCTGCCGCCACTGGCCACCACTCAGTAGTTCTCAGCCTTAACTGAGAAACCATCAAATGATCCCAGTGCTGGGCATAGAGATTAGTGAAGGAAAGATGGCCTCCACTCATCTCTATGCCCTTGGAGGACCGGAATGATGTCACTTCTGGTTCCGGCCATTTTTTTTTTATTTATTTTTTTTTAAAGTACTAGATCAATGCTTTTTTTGATCTAATGCTTTACATTGTAGAGGCGAGATGTGGGATCTTATTGACCCCATATCTTTCCATAAAAAGGACCTGTCACTAATTATTTCTATCACAGGAGATGCATGCATTTCTTGTAATAGGAATAAAACTGATTAAATTTTTTTTTTAAAAGGACAGTGCACAAAAAAAGTTAAGTTAAAAAAGAAAGTTTAAAGTGCCCCTGTCCCCCCGTGCACACATATAGTGGTGAAAGCATATGTAGGCCACACCCATATATGTAAATGGTGTTCAAACCACACATGTGAGGTAACGCCATGAACATCGGAGCAAGAGCAATAATTCTAGCACTAGACCTCCTCTGTAATTTACACTGCTAACCTGTAGACATTTTTAAAGTGTCACCCATGAAGATTTTTAAGTACCTCAGTTTGACGCCATTCCACAAGCGTGCGCAATTTTAAAGCGTGACATGTTGGGTAATTATTTACTTGCCGTAACATCCTCTTTCATATTTTATAAAACAATTGGGGTATATATTGTGTTTTTTGTTTTTTTTTTAATCAAAGTGTATCTTTTTTCCAAAAAAATATATATTAATTTTTAAAAATTGCGCATTTTGAATTTTTGGTTTCGGCACCAGAATTTTAATTTCAGTGCACCACTAATTTAAACGTACCGAGTCAAACATTTATGCATCTTGTCACAACTTGTTTTCTTTTCCTACAAAATTGTGTTTGTACGCAAATAGTTTATAAACTCAGTTTAAACTAAAGAGAGAAGCTAAATGGTTGATCTTGTTCACTTAAAAATGAATTTGATGCTACAATATTGCTTTGGTATATTAACCTTTCTTTATCTTGTTGCCTCTTTTCAGATCAACATGTACATGTTTGCAGCTGACAGCCAGAGCATGTAATAACAATGTATCGTCACCCAAGCAGTCAGTTCCAACTGGTTATAAGTATAGGCGCCTCCAAGCTCCTATTCCCACTGGGTGAGTCAGAAGTAAGCTAGTTATGTGTGGTCGTAAATACATTTCTGTTAGGTTTGCAGCATGCTACAATAGTTTTGTACAAAGAGTGAATGATCTCACACTTTCTCTTGAATCAATGTCCTAATAATTTAGGCGTAAGTAACATCTCCTTATAAAGAGAATTGTCACGATATTGTGTTGAAATCCTGCTTGAAAAAATGTTGGATGCATTAGAAGTCATTTGTCCTCTGCCTCTCTTTTTTTGGGCATAGCTTTCAGAATTCAGTACTGCTTTAACAGCTGTTTTATCTAAATTTCCATTTTTGCTAAATAAAAACAGCCATTTTCACTTGCATTTGTAATTGATTCAGAGCACTGTATTTGCATGTACTTCCATTTGACCTGCAGCATTTTATTTTTTTGGTTTTTTTTGATAATTCCATTTTAGAGAAGTTTTTTGAGCAGTTCAATCTTAACTTCTGGTATAGTGGTTCATATGGAAATTCTTATCTCATCATAAATGTGTGATTCTAAAGTAAATCTATTCTCTTTCTCTCCTCTGCTGCCTGTCAGCTCCTTCCCTGCCAGCAGCCCGATTTGTTGGAATTCCTGTTAAAGTGGAAATTAAGTAAAAATTTTAAAAATTTGCCTTAATGTGATCTCAGCTTGCGCACATGCAGCTCAGACCACATTTACGGCCTGCTCCATGTGCCGCTGCGATGTGACTTCTGTGCGCGGGAGTGACGTCACCACGGCCCAGCCAAGCTTACAAACCCTGGAAGAAAGACCAGGCGAAGATGGAAGTGCCGAGGGAGCCGTGACAGCGCAGTTCTGGAGGGCTCCATTTTCAGGTACACCTGTCAAAATGTGCTAGTATTCAGTGCATACTAGTACATTATGACTTGAACCTGCAGGGGGACCTTTAACTCAAGCAGAGCTATGTTACTTTTGCCTCCTCCGTGTCCTCTTTCTCCTGAACTCCCAATGGTTTAAGAGCCTCTGACTTCATCATGACCAATGCAGGGCCCATGGTCCTGCATTGAACATGAGGATGCTGAGGAACAGTTCACCACCAGGGCATGGGTGATCACCGTCTGCTGGGTGAGCAGAGGATCAGGCAAGTAAAACAACATTTCCATTCCCCAGACTAACCAAGCAATTAACTGGAGTTAAATATTCGTCTTCTTGAAAGCAGTGCGGTCGGACAGCAGTGAAAGGGAGTGGGGCAGGTGCCCTGTTAACCACATTAGCTAAGCAGCCAGACCACCGAGGAAAACAGGACAAAGAAGACGAATATTTATGCACTTTCTACTCTAGTTGACAAGGAAGGACTAAATATAATTTTGATGAGACATTTATACATGAGGCAAACTTGTTTGCCCTTTATAGTTATGACTGTTGACGAATGAATTCAAATGAAGCATTGTATGTTTTTTAAGATATATGAGGATTCTACTTGCTTGCCTAGAACCTGCTATCAACATCATCATCTTCTGTCTGTAAAGGTGAACTGTTTTGCATAGAGGAATGTTTGCTATAGGAACATACAGAAATCACAAGACTTAACATTTTGTGTTTTACAAACACTATCCTTCACTGCAGGCTGTATGAATGTAATGTATCTTGTAAATGTGATCGAAGGATGTGTCAGAACCGGGTTGTACAGCACGGTCTTCAAGTCCGACTTCAGGTGTTCAACACCAAAGAGAGAGGCTGGGGGGTACGCTGCCTGGACGATATTGACAAAGGGACCTTTGTATGCATCTATGCAGGCAAGTTGCAACAGTATTCAGGATTTCAGTTATTATCTTTGAGTCCTATTTTTATTTCTAACATCAGGAATCACATTTGATTAACAGGAGTGTTTTCACACATTTGTTTGTTTTTTGTTTTTTTCCCCCCCTAAATGTGTATTAATAACTCATGTATATGCACGAAGTTCTAAGAGTAGTTTATCACTAAGAAAAAAAAAATACAGCTTGCTTATGAAAACCCTCTTTATACTCCATATAGTCCTGTTCATTGTCATATTATTTATTTTATTTATTTTTTAACTTAAGGTGGGCGTTTAAAATTAGCGGTATGACTCCCACTGCTGTCTCTGTCAATGAGGAGGGAGAGTCCCCGGAGAGCTGAAGTTCTCATGTACATCGCTGGATCGCAATGGGGCTCAGAGAAGTATTAGAGAAAGCTGCGGGGGCTGCTGCGCACCAATTTTTGTCTTCATGCATAGAATGCACCAAGGTAAAAAACCTTGAGCCTTTAAAACCACTTTAACCCCTTGCTGTCGAAGATGTCTCATTACTTCATGGCAATGAAAGGGTTCAAACACCTCACAGCAATAGCAGCGTTGAGCATGATTTAGATTGATTCTCGGTGGCTGTAAAGTGAGGAAAATCCTTTCCCTGGATCTTCTGAAATTATTCCAAAAAGCCATCTACTCTGGCCAGGGAAACAACGGATATAGTTGTCAGTTGGTCATTGATCTGCATAGGCAGATGGCAGGGGTGATGGTAGGGATCTAATAGACTCCGTAAATAGTATTGGTCACCTACCTAATGATATAAGGGGTGGAAGGGAGTGCTTGTCATCCCCCTTGTAATAGTAATAGAGTTTTTTCAAATTAAAACACCAATGCACATATGTAAACGATTATGCAACCCATATTATTTATCAGTACATGTACTCCAGCAGCCTTACTTTAAACTACACACACATACCCATCAGATTCAGCGCTCACAGGGAACAATAGACCTGCATTTCTGAAGGTCTAAGAATGCTTGTGTTACTGCCTCCTGATCATCCGTTCTCCAGGTAATCACCCATAGCACAGCAATCACCCTCTGCTCTTCTTCCTTCTTCTAGCTCAGTGGTCTCCAAACTGCAGCCCTCTCCACTAGCTGTTCTACACTTCCCAAACCTATATCTGACTCCTCTCATTGCTCCAGTGCTGTCCCGGCTGCAGCATTGCACTTCTCACTTCCTGGTCTCACAGAACACAGTGAAAGCAGCGGTACTGTGTGTGCTTTTATGGGCGCACACAGCCCAACTCGACAACCCCTGTATGGGTGCCCCCATAGCATTCAGCTTGTTAACCACTTCAATGTCGGGCACTTTACCCCCTTCCTGCCCAAGCCAATTTTCAGCTTTCAGTGTTGTTGCACTTTGAATGACAGTTGTGCGGTCATGCAACACTGTACCCAGAAAAAAATTTCTCTTTTTTTCTTTCATACAAATAGAGCTTTCTTTTGGTGGTATTTAACCAATTCAATACCGGGCAATTTTACACCTTCCTGCCCAGGCCAGTTTTCAGGTTTCAGCGCTTTCACACTTTGAATGACAATTACGCGGTCATACAACATTGTACCCAAACTAAAATTTTATCATTTTCTTCACACAACTAGAGCTTTCTTTTGGTGGTATTTAATCACCGCTGCGGTTTTTATTTTTTGCTAAATTAACAAAAAAAGACCAAAAATTTTGAAAAACACACGTTTTTCTTTGTTTTTGTTATAAAAGTTTGCAAATAAATAATTGTTCTTCATAAATTTAGGCCGAGATGTATTCTGCTACATGTCTTTGGTGAAAATTAACCCAAATTAGGATGTATTTTTTAGTCTGTAGGAAAGTTATAGAGTTCACAAACTATGATATAGATCTGAATATTGATCAATCCTGAAGTACTGACAGCCAATCTAATTTCTTGAGGTCCAAGAATGTCAGAACAGTACAGATATCCTCCAAATGACCCCTTTTTGCAAAGTAGACAGTCCGACGTACTTCATAAGAGGCATGGCGAGTTTTTTGAAGTTGTATTTTTTTTGTCATTTTTCGGAAACTGAAAAAATTAAAAAAATTAGTTTCACTATTTGTTTTTTTGACATATTGTCACCAGTGCAGTACAGCGTCATCATATAACTGGCATGGCGGTGATCAGGGACACTGACTGGTGACAGTATGAAAAACAAATATATATATTTATTTTTTTTTTACTATTTTTTATTAAATTTTTTTTCCTATTTTTTTTTCATATTTCACTATGACCAAAGTAGTACAATGTTACCATGTTAACATTGAACTACTCTGGGCAAGTGATCATTATTTGTTTTTCTTTAACACTTTATGATTGCTGAATTTCATTGATATTTGCAATCATTGTTACTGAATGAAACTGATTCATTTAGTCTTTTGTTGTGATTAGCTGTGATTAGGCAAAGCTCATCACATGATACAGATGGGCTGTGATTGGCTTTGTCTGTACCATGTGACTGCTTTGACCAATCACAGCTAACACAATTGTATAGAATGGATGGCATGACAGGAAGCCATCCATTTGTATACAATTGACATGTGATCTGTTGTGATTGGTCACAACGGTCACATGACACTGGCAACTGGCCGGTGTATTGATATTTCATCGGCTGTGTCCTGTGGTAACAGAGCCGGTGACAGATCGCACCGCTAAACGGCCCCGTGGACGCGTGAGCGGCTCCTTGCTGACAGGACGTCATATGACGTCCAGTCACAGGGAGGAGTATCCCGCCTGGCCGTCAATCTGCTATAGACCAGGTGGGAAGATGTTAAGGAAGCACCTGCAGTAAGGAGAAGCAGACAGCGGCTCTTCCATAAGAGAAGGTAAAGGACTGTTCTGTGCAGTATCGTTGCACAGAGCAGGTAAGTATAACATCTTTTTTTTTATTTTAATGAAAAAAAAAAAAAAAACCTTTTAGTATCATTTGAACCAATAATAATTGCCCTAGAATTATTGTTATCGCTTTGGCTGCTGCAGCCATATGCTGTGTGTGTTTGGTGTGTACGTTGGGGGCAGGCTAACCCTTTTTTTTTTTTTTTTTTTTTTTTTTTGACCATTTTCAGTAGTGACACTAGAAACCACAAGTGACATTTTTACATATCATTCCTGGGTTTATTTTAGCTAGGGGAGATCAGTGAATGGCTGTTTGCTGGGCTCCTGCTTCTCCCTCCCTCCCTATCCCCCCCCCCCCCCCAGTGACACCTGTCATGCATAGGGGGCGCACCTTAGGGATCACAGAAACTGATCGGGTGGCTGTATAGCCGCCGGATTGCTTACATTAGAAAGCCAACAGACAATATAAGGAGTGTGTGAACATGTGTAAAAACCCCTGCTGCCACCCCTGTACTATTTACAACAATTGTAGTAAAATGGTTAATCTGATAAACCTCATGTTTTAACTTGTGGGCTGGTATCAATTCTGTACAGGTAGTGCCTTGTGTTGTAAAAACGCAACACAATGTATCCCCTCCTTTTTTTTTTTTTCTTTTTTCTCCTCTGAATGGAGAGAGAGACAAATTGTATTTTTTTTTTCTTCTTGTTAGAGGAAAAAAATGTAAAGACAGAACAGTGTGTGTAGTTTAAAAAAAAAAAAAAAAAAAAAAGCTAGATCAGGTCAGTGTTTTTTAGGTACAATTATTAACTAAAGATTAAATTGATAGCAGTGTCAGGTAGGTTAAAAATTCACAATATTGTTTCTGGCCCTCATACTGGCGCAAACAATAAATCGCACACATGTGGTGTTGTGATCGTCATGACCGGGAGAATTTATTTTGGGTTCTTTTTGGTAGGTTATCTTAATAACAAGAAATTATAATGCTAAATTAAAATAAAAATTAAAATTTTTGGCGAGGAGATATCCATTACCATTTACCACCAAATGAAAGCCCAATTTGTCTTGTAAGGGGAACTACACTGCATCTGAGAAACAAAATCCTAAAACGTTTTTTAAGTCATTTTTCATATTCAAAGCAAACCCATCATCCATGTCTCCATGCTTTATTTTTCTGAGAAATCACTTTGAAAAACACCCCTAGCATTCCTGACTGCGGCCATCTTGAATAAAAGGCAGTATCATTTACTTATTGGAATCCATCCCCCTTAGCTTAAGCATGCAGGTAGGAGGGTGTGCATAGCTAAGAAAACCCGTCCTCCCCTCATTAAGACTTCTGGTATGTATGACATAGTTTGCCTAGGACACACATGCACACACACTCACACACACGTGCACACACTCACACACACGTGCACACACACTGCATCCAGAAAGTATTTTGTTATGTTACAGCCTTATTCCAAAATGGATTAGATTAATTTTTTTCCTCTCAACATTCTACAAACAATACCCCATAATGACAACATGAAAGAAGTTCGTTTTGAAATCTTTGCAATTTTATTAAAAATAAAAAACGAAAAACCCACATGTACATAAGTATTCACAGCCTTTGCCATTACACTCAAAATTGAGCTCTGCTGCATCCTGTTCCCACTGATCATCCTTGAGATGTTTCCACATCTTGATTGGAGTCCATCTGTGGGAAATTCAGTTGATTGGACATGATTAGGAAAGGCATAAATCTGTCTATATAAGGTCCCACAGTTAACAGTGCATGTCAGAGCACAAACCAAGCCATGAAGTCCAAGGAATTGTCCGTAGACCTCTGAGACAGGATTGTATCAAGGCACAGATCTGGGGAAGGGTACAGAAAAATTTCTGCAGTATTGAAGGTCCCAATGACCACAGTGGCCTCCATCATCCGTTAATGGAAGAAGTTTGAAACCACGAGGAATCTTCCTAGAGTGGGCAACCTGGCCAAAATGAGCGATCGAGGGAGAAGGGCCTTAACCAGGGAGGTAACCAAGCACCCAATGGTCGCTCTGAAAGAACTCCAGTGTTTCTCTGTGGAGTGAGGAGGACTTTCCAGAAGAACAACCATTTCTGCAGCACTACACCAATCAGCC